GGGGGAAGCGCAGGCATCGACAACAGTTACGTGTGTTTTTTTTTTTTTTTTTTTTTTTTTTTTTTTACTCTGATCGCTCCCTAATACCTTTATTCGCTCGTCTAGCTTTTTTCCTCTTTTTATCGTGCCTCGTGCCCGAGACGTTACGATTTAAATGCGCACGAGCGGTGACTCGAGTGGGCGGATAACGATACGTAAAAGGATAACGTTTTGCGTCGGTGTACGTTCTGAGGAGACGCACAAAAATCTCCGCTCTCGACCCATACACAATTCCCATTGCCGCGAAGTTTTTAATATCGAACAAAAATAAACAAACGAAAGCTGTTATTTTGATCTCACTTGAATATTTTACCATTGCCATTAAAATTCTTCTAACAATGTTACTTTTATTAATGTTCAATGAGCAGAAATTCAATCTTTTTTCACATTATCAAATAAATCTCTCTTAATTTTATTTTTACGCGAAACGAAAAATTGTTTCACGAAATGTTCTCGAAAAGTTTTGTCGCTTGATCACGAGAATTTCGTTATTCAAGAATTTGCGCAAATAAATTTTACACGGGACGACGCCAAATGTCGCGAAATCGTACAATAACGAAAGTGGAACACGTAATTCTAAAAGAGAAAGCGACACCGCAATGAGGGAAAGATATCTCCCCAGGTGTTGTCGGCGGAAAAGCTGCGATTCGTGCTGAACTAGCGACTGGCACGCGTTACGGAGAAGGAGGGATGCTGCGTTATAAAAGGGACGCAGGTTTTACAGGCTCGACATTATGTTTACCACACGAAACGCCCCCGCAACGCCTCACCGGAAAAACCGGATGTCTCGTGCTGTGTGAATTAGCTTTACGATTTACGAGCGGCGACAAATTGGCCAGCGCGATTCTCCTTCTCTTTTAACTGACAACGAGTCGTGAAAGGCTCGGGCCGATCGTTACCGAACCGTTTGGAAATCGTTTAAGAGCGAGACCACTTTGCAGAAATACGTACAATGCGATCAGCCACGTTTACACTCGTTTGTCGTCTTGTAAATCTTTTACTCCGCACCTTCTCGTCGCAATTAAGCTACCGTTGGGCCCTTCACAGGGTTGGTAAAGACGGTCAATTTAGGACACGAATAAGGAAAATTTCTTTGGCTATTTTCCACGGTCACTTTGTCACTCTAACAAGACAGCTTAGTACCTTAGCCTTAGGTAAAGTCAAAATACAATGACGCCCGTCTACGATTGTCCGGGAAGTTTTGTTGATGTGTTATTTAAAATGTTGACCATTTCGCTCGCGCCAATTATTCACCCATCGATATATATATATATATATATATATATATATATATATTGTGCGGAAAATCAATTATATAAAGTATAAAGATTCAATCATTCCAGTAGCTTATATATTTTTGTTACAAAATTAAATTTCAAGAGATTGGAAAAAATATATTTAGTAAACAACAATGCGCAAAAAAGTTTTATCTTTCATTTCTATATAGTTTTATTATTACAACGGAAGGATATACTATTTCTCGTTTCAGAGATAATTGAGCGCGTGTATGCTTCCCGATGCGTGACAAATGCGCGTACATATAGCGGCATTCGGAAGTATGTTCCCTTCCGTGCGGGAATCGCGTTCCTGTGTGTATGCGTGCGCGCGTGTACGCGAATCGTTTCCGTATACTAATACCCCTACAAATCGATCGTGGTTCCGTCACCTTGATAACCTCTTTCTTTTTTCTTTTTCCCTCCCGTGAGCGTCCGAGGGTGTTGCCGGGCGTCTGGCCAGACGGAATTTCTATGGGGGCACCAGTGGGGCACCCCATAGGCAGTTCCGTTCTCTAATGTGGAAGTAGCTCGTGCTACCTGAGCAGCTGCGCGTGTGTGCGAGAAGAGAAGGGAACTCCCTTCGCGGGAGTTGTATTTTATTTTCGCCTCGCCTTATGGGACATCGAGAAGAGCGAGAGAGACAAAGGGCGCAAAGGGGAAGGGCCCCATAGATAGACGCCGCCAGGTACCCCGCGGGCCCAACGTCACGCTTGAGAGGGGGGCCATCTGCCCCCTAACGAGTGTGTGACGTCAGGTGTGACGACGTGTGCTGAGCTAAGAAGCGTTCGTCTTCTCTCCCTTTCTCTTCGCCGAGGGTCGTGTCAAAATGTTCTAATTGCAACCAAAAGCTATATATACGCATGCATCAGACTACATATCGTCATATATGTCTCTGTAATTGTTTTACTATATAGAATAATATTTCTATGTTACTTTTTTATATGTCCTAGTTTTTTTTCGATAAAAAAATGTATGTTAGCTCCTAAATATAAAAAAATATTCGTGGCTTTCGTATCTAGATCTGATACTTTGCGGAGGAACGGAGAGACAATTACTTTCTCGCGCGTTTTATTGAAAACAAGTTGGATATTCAATTGGAATATTTAATCCTTCAGCAATACTTTACTCGATTATTGCGCACTGCGACTCACTTTTATCGCAGTAGGCGTATTTCGTATCTTTAACAAGACCGTCATATTGTTCTTTATCACGAGATTCGTTGTTATCACGCGGGGCGGCTTCTAAAGATATATTCGTACACACATAGCGTTCTGCATGCGTGACATGTACGGATGTCTCTTCTACCGCTCTCTTTTCCTCTATCTAGAAGAATAATAGATTAGAAGAAATAAAATCGTTAGTGTGTTTTTCCAGTCTCGCAAAACTTATCATGCACGCTTGAATTATTTTTAAAAATCGAAAATTATTAACACGTAAAATTATAATTAATTTAAAATTTTTGTGTA